TTTGGGCTCTGTAATTCCCATCTTTCGTGACACTGCAGCATACAGTTCACGTGCGTACTCCTTAACAGAGCGCGTGTCCACCGCCATGTTCCGTCACGCCTGACGCACCAAGTAGCTCACAAGTAATTTTTCCGTCTTGAGAAGCACCTGGTTGTGGAAATACTTGATCATAGAAGCACCTGTAGACTTTGTGATGTTCATGTGCTCCTTTATCTTGGCTGCATCCCTCTTAATTGTCCTGATAGTTGATTCGTTAACACCATGCTGGCGCGCGAGATCAACCTGTCTTGTTCCTTTCTCCAACTCTTGTATGATCTTATATTTGATTTCGTAGCTTAAGGAACGTCATGTCTTCTTTGGCTTAGGGCGGTTGGGTCCAGGTAATGCAAGGTTTCTTTGTGGTGGTGGTGGTGGTCCGGTGGAAGCCATTCTTATGGAACAATGGATACCGATATACACAGTGTAGCCGGGAGGGGTGTAACTGATGCAGGTAGGTCAAGGGGCTTGAGTGGTCCCGCGGCGGGGCCCGTCATAGTACATTAAAGCAATCACAACTAGCGGGGAGGGAGGTAGGATGCTTTGCCCAATCACAGTCCGCTACATCATATGACGTCACCGATAACGCAACAAAGACATACACTGCGCAACCTCCTCACGCCGCTTACACAACATGGCGGATGGCGGGAGAGATGGCGGGAAGTTTGGATCCAAAAATGGCGCGGCGCGAGAGGACCGCCAGCCGCTCTCCGCGTAAAGGGGTACACGCACCGCGTAATGTGAGCATTCTGGTTTCGGCAGGGTACCGCGCAATCATGGAAACGCGGAATGTGGGACCGCGTAAAGCGAGGGTTGACTGTATGTATATATATATATATATATATATATATATATATATATATATATATATATATATATATATATATATATATATATATATATATATATATATATATATATATATATATATGAGGTGTGACCCGGGCAGGAGGTCGTGTTAGAAGTGAAATCCGCGTTAAGTGAACAGCAGAACATATGGTTAATTCAGCCACAGAAACCCGACCCCCAAACTCCACTTTTTGAAGACACATAACTATATTGTAGTAAAAATAACATCTTAATTTTATGATGGTACATGCACACAATTAATACTTAAGAGAAATAGAGAAATACAGTCGCCAAGTTAATGTCCATTCAAATAATGGACTCAACTCCCTCCCCCTCTCACACTACACTGCCGGCTCTTCCCTCTCTGAGAAATTTTTGGGGGAAAACCACTAAATTTTAATAAATAATACCTCAAACTAAAGTTAGGATAATACAATTGACATTGCTGGATTCCTTGTAAGACCAGGAATATTTTGAATATAAATGTCATATATTTTGCACAAAAGATAACATAGTTACTCAGAGAAAATTTTTTATCTAAAATTTGTATGTCTAATGCAAAATATATGATGTTTATATTCAAAATGATCACCAAATTATAAGAATTCCAGCAATGTAAATTATATTCTGGCCGGGTAATTTGTATGAATTTTATGAGCTAAAACAAATATCTTCAGTTAATAAAAAAAAAAATAATCTTCAGGACACTATCTGTCAATCAAAGTACCCCACCTTGCCTTCCCCCTCTTCCAACCGCGCGGTCAGTCCCAACCCTCCCCCCCACCCCCCACCAATCATCCCTTCAAGAGAAGAGTGGGTGAAAAATTTAGATTTTAACATTTTGTATTAAATAATACCTCAGATTAAAGTTAGGATAATATAATTGACATTGCTGGATTCCTTGTAAGACCAGGAATATTTTGAATATAAACGTCATATATTTTGCACAAAAGATAACATTCTTACTCAGATTAAACATTTTATCTAAAAATTTTATGTCTAATGCAAAATATATGATGTTTATATTCAAAATGATCATCAAATTATAAGAATTCCAGCAATGTAAATTATATTCTGACCGGGTAATTTGTATGAATTTTATGAGCTAAAACAAATATCTTCAGTTAATAAAAAAAAAAAAATATTCTTACGGGGTAACAGATGGTCGGTCGGTCCCTCCCTCCCCCCCACCCCCCACCAACCGTCCCAAGGAGATGTGTGGGAAAACCAGAATACTTAACTTTTTTGTAATAAATAATACCTCAAACTAAAGTTAGGATAATATAATTGACATTGCTGGATTCCTTGTAAGACCAGGAATATTTTGAATATAAATGTCATATATTTTGCACAAAAGATAACATAGTTACCCAGAGAAAAAATGTTATCTAAAATTTGTATGTCTAATGCAAAATATATGATGTTTATATTCAATATGATCACCAAATTATAAGAATTCCAGCAATGTAAATTATATTCTGGCCGGGTAATTTGTATGAATTTTATGAGCTAAAACAGGCAGTCAGGCAGGGTGGCGGGTGGGGCAAATCTAAAAATAGCGTCTGAGCCGGACACTCACCGCGTATATGTGGAAAAAATCCGTGTTAAGTGAAAGTTCAGCTCTGGCGAGGCACCGCGTATATGATAAAACGCGTTAGGGAGTAATATATATATATATATATATATATATATATATATATATATATATATATATATATATATTCGACAACCTGGACATACGACTGCCCTGTCTCCTCCTCTGCTTCATCCAATTAATGTAGTTTCCATGCTTTATTAAAAAATTATTGAGGCCCCGTGTGCATTCAGCTGACTACATTAAAGGTAAGTGCACAGTAGCACTTTATTCATTTTTCATTATTGATTACTTTTACTGTACAGTATTGTATTTCATTTTAGAATTTCTATGTATTATTTTCACCTTTTCGACTTGTGACCAAATGAACTTACGACCTGGTCGTCGGGACGGAACCCTGTCATAAGTCGAGGAGAGACTGTACTTGCCAACAGTGTGTAACAGAGATGTGACCGACCGCCCAAGCAGGTAACGAGCCAATCAATGGTGAAGAGGATAAAAGGCAAAGGGCAAATAATTTGAATTTAACTGAAAAACTGTTGGTGCAGGGTAAATATTTAGTAGTTGCCAATAGTGTGCCTAATTAACTTTTTAAAATGGGTTTATATAGTATAAATCATTGTGTTAAATACAAATATTCCCTTCATTGTCGTTATAAATGAGCACTAGTTTAGATATTGAGAAAATGGAAGGTCAAACAATTCCTATAAAAAGAAAAAAAAAACCTAACCTAACCTAATCCCTAGTGTGCAAAAATCTTACCTTAAGTAAGAGATACAGGAGGATAGAGTGATGCGACTTGGATGTCTTCATCAGTATCGTCTCTTACCACAGTACCATGCATGGCAATCTACACAGTAGTGACACTCTGAATTATATTTTGGACACTTTACAAATGAAACAAGAACACCCCGAGCCCAAAAAATTTCAACGGCTGCTGCTTCATTGTCCAAAATGCACTTAATAATGCGCCAGCTAGCCAATGTACAGTCATCCCTTGGTTATCGCGCCTAATTGGGACCGCGCTGAGTGCGCGATAACAAAAAACGCGATAACGAAAGTACAGAACATATGGGATTTATTCTAATTGGTTCCAGGCACCCAAGACCCAACCCAAATTTTCTCATTTTACGACCATTTAGACCCACTAAAGATAAAGATAATGTTATGGTATGTATCAGAAACACACAGGCATGGCTAGGTTTATTACAAAGTGATGAAAAGGGTACGCTCAATACTGTAGTCCACAAAACATGTTGCTATGCTTTCTTTATTTGAGTCCCCCGTCTGAGGAGTCCGTTTTCTCATTGCTTCAGGACGTCTGAGTCCTCCAATTTCTCTCAATCTTAGAGTGCACCCGAGACTTCGTTATTCCTTAGTAATGACACAGAATTTGAAATTGCAACTGGGGTTGCAATTGTTGAGGCAACTAGATATGTCTGATTACAGCAAATGTGTTATTGTCAATTTGTAGGTGAAAGATTTTATCCTCAATAGATGTAGGTGAAGCAAATGGGTAACAATACACCTGGAGGCAACTGTGTGATAACGAAATTCTCGGCTTGAAAAATGAGCTATAACAGCAGGTGTGCAGATTTTGATGGAGGCGTGATAACGAAAATCGCGATAACCAAGTGTGCTATAACCAAGGGATGACTGTACATCCTCCTCACACAGACACCATCTTCCAACTGCCCGTGAATGGAGACTTGTGCTGATTAACGCATTAGTATTACATCATGGCTATGACGTCACCCATGTTGATTTGCCAAATATTATAAAATAAAAGTTAAAATAACTCTAAACTATAAATTTCTGATGGAAACATAAGAGAATAGTAAATTGTTTGTATTATTTATCTCCCCATATATGACTCAATATTCATTTAGGTGTTGGCAACTACTAAATATTAACCTGATGCAGTTATGTGAACAGTAGTTATTACCAAGGATAAAATACTAGTTTTTAGTCTCTGGTAATGGTTATACTGTGCCGTATACAGTACAGGTGCTCCCTGACTTACGACGGGGTTAGGGACCCAAATCCAGGTCGTAAGTCCAAATGGTCGTAGGTCCGACAAAAAAAAAAAAAAAAAATCTACAATGAAATACCGTACTGTACAATAAAAGTAATAAATAATGAGGAATGGATACAGTGTGACTGAGCACTTACCTTTAATGTAGTCAGCTGAATGCACCCAGGGCGCCATAATTTTCTAATTATACATGGAGACTACATTAACTGGAAACGTTTCGGTATATAGATAATGTGCGCGTCATTTAAAAAAAAAAAATTTGGTCACGACTGCGGCGGTTGTATGTCCCGACGGTCGTAAGGTCAGAGCAGGTCGTAAGTGCCGATGGACGTAAGTTGAGGCAGTCGTAAGTCGGGGACTACCTGTACATATTTTTTAGTGGTATTAGTTCTGCGTAGGTCTACTTTAGAAAGACGATATATGTTTGATATGAATGATGTGAAATCAATAACTAAACTGTCTTAAAATTTATTTCAACTTTTCCAGAAATAAAACCAAATGTATCCTAAGAAGAATACCCAGACTGGCAGGAAACCTGTATCAGAAGACTATGGTGGCACTAAAAGCGACGTTACGGGCAGCCACTCGGGGATGCGATTCACTCCACAGGAGAGAGCGGAACTTGAGATGTATCTGATGAAGAAAACTAGGGGCGATCTATCAAGTGATGTTAATAAAATGGACCCAATGGAGGTGAAGCATGTACTGGGGTTAATGGGTCATAAAAGGAAAATGCCATTTGGCCCGCAGTCCCAAAGTATGGAAGCGTATGAATGGAGGCCACCACCAATGGTGACTCCTGAGGAAGATGAAGAGGAGATGAATGATGAGCAGACCAGAGTGGACCATGGGGAACTTGACACTGATGCTGTCCTGTATGTCCTTACTGAGAAGGTTGGTACTTTTGGTTCATATTGATGACTGACCTGTAGATGTGTTTGTTTTGATGTTTATTTTCTTACTATATTTTCATCAGAGAGTTCTGTTATGATAATCAATTCTTGTGCAAATGCTTCGTTTGGTGGATACTGTAATTAGGCATCTAGACATGCACTACTCTGTCTTCTCGGTGTAATGAGGGAATACTCATATAAAAGGTAAAGTAAGAGTTATAGTTGTAGGATTGTAAAGTGAAGAAAGTTGGTAGCGTGGCTGATTAGTTATTTAATCGTTAATATACAGCTAGACCCTGACTTACGACGGGGTTAGGGACCCAAATCCAGGCCGTAAGTCCGAATGGTCGTACAGTGGGGTATGCTATAACGAACGGATCCTACTACGAATATTCCTATAACGAACGGTTTTACCTATAAAATTGAGAAAGCTATAACGAACGCAACTCCTACAACGAACGCGGATGAATACCGGACTATTTCGCCTGGCGCATGAATATTGTTGTACCGCGACCCACAACAAGAGCGTCAGGCGCCATCTTTGTCTCATTGTGTAGCCAGTGCACTACTGTTATTGTTGAAATTTCGTCTTTTGATGTGGAAATAGAGTTATTTGTATAAATATTTTGTTATACAAGTGTACAATTGTGACAATGAATCGTTCAAAGCGAGTGAGAAAGCTCATAACTCTTGGAACTAAGAAAGAAATCATAAAGAAACGTGAGGATGGAACAAGCATTGCGAAACTTAGTGATGAGTATGGGATGGCTAAATCGACTATATGTACGATTTTAAAGAATAAAGAGGAGTTGAAAACAGTGCAAGTGGCTAAGGGAATCTCTAGACTTAGCAAAGCAAGGTGTAATGTGATTGAGGAGATGGAAAATTTACTCTTAGTGTGGATAAAGGAGAAAGAAATGGCAGGTGATAGCATTAGTGAAGCTATAATTTGTGAGAAGGCCAGACAATTGTTTGAGGACCTTAAAGCCAAGACTCCCAGTGCAAGTGATAGTGATGTGCCAGTGTTTATGGGTACCAAGGGGTGGTTTACTGGTTTCAGAAGGAGAAATAAAATACATAGTGTTGTGAGACATGGTGATGCTGCTAGTGCCGATAAGGAAGCAGCTAAGGAACACCATGACATTTTTTTGAATATTATTAAAGAGGGAGGCTTTGTTTCTCAGCAGGTATTCAACTGTGATGAAACTGGACTATTTTGGAAAAAAATGCCTCGCCGTACATACATTACCAAGGAGGAAACTTCTGTCCCTGGCCATAAGCCAATGAAAGACAGGCTTACCCTCCTTCTTTGTGCTAATGCTTCTGGTAACTGCAAAATAAAGCCACTCCTTGTGTACCATGCAGAAAACCCCAGAGCTTTAAAAAACACTAGGAAGACCCGCCTTGGCGTTATGTGGCGGTCAAACCCAAAGGCTTGGGTGACCAGGAATTTATTCTCTGAGTGGGTGATTGAGGTGTTTGGACCCAGTGTTCGGGAATACCTCAGGGAGAATAATCTTCCACTGAAAACTTTGTTGGTGATGGACAATGCACCAGCCCACCCTCCTAATTTGATGGTTGAATTGCCAGAGGAGTTGAACTTCATCACTGTGCACTTCTTGCCACCCAACACAACACCTCTCATCCAGCCCATGGATCAACAGGTAATTTCTAACTTTAAGAAGCTGTACACAAAGGCACTGTTTAGAAAATGTTTTGCGTCCACTTCTTCCAGTGATGTTAGCTTGAAGGAATTTTGGAAGAGTCACTTCAATATAGCAGATGCTGTATTTTTAATTACCTCAGCCTGGAAAGAGGTTACTGTGAGGTGTCTTTGTGCTGCTTGGAGGCCATTGTGGCCTGAATGTGTCCTTCAAAGAGACTTTGAAGGCTTCGAAGAGTTAGAAGAAGAGGCTGTTGTTCATGAAATTGTGGCTCTGGGCAATTCCATGGGCCTGGAAGTGGATGATGATGATGTTGAGGAGTTGGTGGAAGAGCACAGTAAGGAATTGTCCACTGAGGAGCTGCTTGAGCTTCACAAAGAGGAAAACGAGACACTGAAGCGGAGCTTAACTTCTGAGGAGTCAGGAGGAGGAGGACAAGGAGGAAAGCCGCATCATTCCAGCCAAAGATCTCAAGGATGCGTTCTTTTGCTGGAGCAAACTGTCCAAGCTTGCTGAGGATTATCATCCTGATGTTGGTTCTGTGCAAAAGGCCATCAGTGTGTTCAATGACAATGTTATGAACTACTTTTGGAAGGTCCAGAAATCAAGGTTGAAGCAGCCAACCCTGGATTCCTTCTTTACAAAGATAACAAAAGAACATACAGACAAAGTGCCTGTGAGACAGTCACCAAAGAGGGCTAGGAAGGATGACTCCTCTCCTTCCACCTCTTCTCAATAATTCTCTCCTCCCCCCTCCCCCTCTGCCTCCTGTCCTGCATGCTGAACAACACTAAGGTAAGATAAAGTACCGTATTTTTTACATTTTCCACAGAATTTTTTCAGTGTTAAGTGGTTGTATTTGGGGGCCTGGAACGGATTAATCCTATAACGAACGAATGCTATAACGAACGAGGTTCTGGAACCAATTACGTTCGTTATAGCATACCCCACTGTAAGTCCGACATAGATAAAAAAAAAAAATTAATAAAAAATCTACACTGAAATACAGTACAGTAAAAGTAATAAATAATGAGGAATGGATACAGTGTGACTGAGCACTTACCTTTAATGTAGTCAGCTGAATGCACATGGGGCCCCCATAATTTTCTAATTATACATGGAGACTACATTAACTGGAAACGTTTTGGTATAGAAAATGCGTGTGTCATTTGAAGAAAAAAAAAATGGTCACAACTGCGGCGGTCGTAAGTCCCGACGGTCGTAAGTCCATGTAGTCGTAAGTCGGGGTCTAGCTGTATATTCTTGGGGGAAATATAAACAACACTTCTAAGTACAGCTATTTATTAGTTAACTGAATGGCATGGACATATTAATAGATCATTATCGTATTTCTCTGCGTATAAACCGAGGTTGTAAACCCCCCAAAATTCCCCAAAATCATGAGGTCAGCTTATACAGCAGATCTAGATCATGAACCTTAAAAATTTCTGGTGCACAGCAGCGAGACACACTATTTACTACTCACAAACTTCAATGTGACTGCCCAATCAGTTGTTCTTCTCTTTCTGAAAACCCATAGATAAAACAACTTTGAAATACAACCTTGTTATTTTAAAGACATGAACTGAAATGGCCTAAAATACTAAAATAATAGAAATACTACAACAGCGACATGACACAACTGTTGTTTACTATTACCGGCTTGATCACCTGTTGTTCACCCCAAGGACATTAGTGTAAAAGAAAGTGTTGAAATACAAATTCTTTATTTAAGACATGGATAAAAAAAAGACATCAGTAAAAATGTTAAAATTCAATATAGAATTGAAATGGTATAGAATCCTTCAAAATCTTCCTCTGAACTAGTGGTTCCTTCCGGTAAATCCCATTCCTCCGACTCGTCTTCGGCTTCATCGTCATCTTCCCACACCACATCATCCTCCTCACCATCCAGAGAATTGGAAATGCAATATTTTTTAATGATTTTACTACTGTTTCTGTTTTTATGGCATTCCAAGAATCTATCACAAATTCGCACAGCAACTCAAGTGGCGCAGCTCACATATTTCCTCCATTGGTGAATGTTTTCTCACCTTCAATCATCCACTTGTTCCACCTATCTCTAACTCTGTCCTTGAAAGGCTTATTAAGGCATACATCAAGAGGCTGAACAACAGATATAAATCCACCAGGTATTACTGCAGTGTCTGTGTTATGTTTTTTCAGGTATTTTTTCACTGGCTCAGTCAATTGAGACCGGAACATATCCTGCACTAGCAAACTACGCTCCTTCCTCAGTACACCTTTCCTCCTACTCCAAATGTGTTCTAACCACAGCCTAACTTCTTCGCCCATCCAACCATTCTCATGCACGTGCACATACCTGTACACCCCCGCTGGGAACTTAACTTTTGGCATTGTTTTCCGCTTAAAGATAATCATGGATTTCAACTTTGTTCCATCTGTCATACAACTCAAAACCACCGTGAAGCGTGCTTTTTCATGTCCAGTCGTCTTCACCAAAATAATTTTTGAGCCTTTTGCTTCCACCGTTCGATTGCTGATCATATCAAAGTTCATAGGAGTTCCATCCATATTCCCGATACAGGTTAGAGGGAAATTGTGGTTGCGCCGTATTTGAATAATGTACCATTGAAAACATGTGATTTTGCTCTCCAGGTCAAGGGGTAACTTCTGTGCGATTTTAGATTTCTGTCTTAATACTAATCCTTTTCTATTCATAAAATGACTACACCACCCTCTTGTTGCCTTGAAGTCTTTACCGGTGTCTGGATTTGACTTGGCCAGTTTCATTGCGTAAATACATATGGCGTTCCCGGTGATGACGTATCCACTCTCTCGGATCTCGTTGACCCACTCTAATAATTTCTCCTCCAGTTCTGGCCACTGTTGTTTACCTCTTCTCAGGGCACATTTTGTTCTGGGGATGTCTATTAACTTTTCTTCAGCCTTCTTCCACTCTCGAACCTGCTTCTCATTAATGCCGGATTCTCTTGCAACTGCAGAGTTGTTTGATGCTTTTGCAAATCTTACAACTTTTAACTTGAATGATGCGTCGTATTTCATTCGTTTTGTGGGTGGGGCCATTTTACCATAAGGTTAAAAGACAACCACCTCATAGATATGGAAAATGCCAAGTGGAGAGAATGTGGTAAACAGATAAGAGGTCAACTATGAAGGCGAGTCAGTCCGGTATCGAACGTCAAACCGCTCGTAATGGTAATGCTCATAATGAGATAAGGTTGACTATGAAGGCGAGTCAGTCCGGTATCGAACGTCAAACCGCTCGTAATGGTAATGCTCATAATGAGTCGAGTTTGGGGGGTTGGCTTACACACACGACATCAGCCTAGAA